CAGTTAAATAGTAATTATAGAAAAAGATCAAGTAACTTCGACATTAATAAAATATGGCAGCAGTTATATATATTATATGTATTACATATTAATTCGGTGTTATGTAATAGTTACATCTTACGTGTTTGCTGGGTAGTTTAGGATAAATTAAAATTAGAGTAATTAAACAAATAGGATACTAATATCGCAGGAAACACGTGTAACGTGTTTAAAGTTTCAAATATCTCAGTTCACAAACGGTAAACCTTTTTTCTGATTACACGAATAGAGAGTTAGATCATTCACATTTCAATTAATTATGCAATGCAAGTTTCGATAAGTGAATTTCACGAGAAGATGTTGAGAAACTCGGCTCACAAAATAAGTGTCTCAATTGCACCTAGTCGCGACGCGAAACCCGGAATGAATCGCCGACGGATGAGCCGCGTCGCAATTACTTAGCGACGGCCGACGGAGATAATCCGCGTACGCGCACGCGTGTGAAAACTGGATTTCGAAATTCACCGCCGCGCATTTCTCGTAATCGGGTATTCTATCTGATACCCGATAAGAGCCATCGAGACTCCACTAATCTCGCGTTGGTCGTGCTCGCGAGAGATCTCGCCGTGCAGCGGGGCTCACGGGTGACCTAATCGCGGGTTATCTAAATTAATGTAAATCGTTATTTGTCAGCGGGCACAATCTATGACGGCCCGGCCGGGACGGGGGAGGGTGTGGATTGTAAAGTCGCGATGTTTCTTAATGGGGTAGCAGATAAGATCACCCCCTCGACTCCGGCCCGGCGGATTCATGCGTGACGCTGAATAGGCGTGTTTTTCCTAAGGCATTGCGTTCCTACCCCGGGCTATAAATTGAGTGATAACGCCGATAACGTCACCGAATTGAAGGCAAACATTCCGCCGGCACGCACGCGCTATTGCAACGGGAGGACAGTTACGCGAGCCGATGATTTGTCAGCTCGCTCGAGGCCGGCGGCCGATGCCTCCGACGCGATACTCGAAAATGTAACCGATAATGAGCGGCCGAGTGTGCGAATTTATTGAGATCACGTGGAAAGTTTGACGGTATTACGCGCCACCCTCCGAGCGAGCGATTTTCCAATCATCCGACCGGTTCCCTCGATGTTACAGTGTAACAGCCAAGTGAAACGACGTCATAAAAAAATACCTTTTATAAAATAATGGTTTCCTTAATATAATTCGATCGATAGATCAGCCGTATTATAAATGTAAGAAATTAAGGTGCGTCTAATAATATGGCTGGGAACTGTAAATATTGTGAGAACGGTATTTTACAAAATGCATTAATATTTTGAAAACTCAATTAGTCATGATTGAGGTGAGATTATTTAATTTAGATTAAAGTATAATGCAGAGAAAATGATCCGTTGCGCTTGCGCGATATATATATATATATATATATATATCCTTTTGCAAATTGTGTGCAAAGAGCTAATAGTCATTTTCGCGACGAATCAATGGGATGACGCCAGCAAAGTGGTTGCGCCAAACAGAGTTAGCGTGTTATCCGCGTATAAATAAATAGAAATATTTACATAATTGCACGGAAAACTCGTTATCGCCGATCCACGGTAATCATAGCCCCACGAGCCGCCATAAGTTAGAGCGCTAATAATTAGACCGGTAATTACTAAACGCGGCCGCTCGCTCGCTCGTTAGATTTACCGGCGTTTAAGCGATCTATCGGCCACGAACGAAAAATGTATTTTAATATATCGTAACGACGTATCGATTAGCATGGTCGGGGAGAGCGGCGCACGGAAGATATCCAGCGAGATCCGCCCTGTAACCTAGCATTAGAAGCATTTAATCGCCACTCGTTAATTACAGAAACCTCAGCTACTCGGTGCAACGAGCAATTTTCCGCTAAGTTCTGTAATACCCGTAAGAGATCCTTCCGACAGACAATCCTCTCGCTCGATTCACCCGGCGTAGAAAAATTTTACTCATCGAGCAGTAATTACGCTCTCTCCGACTGTCTATTTTGAAAAAAAAGACCCTCCGAGAATTACTGTTATCGTTCCAGTAACACTGTTCGATTGTATCGTTAAGTGTATAGTCGGTGGCAAGAAGGCAGCGATACTTTTCAATTTGAGATAATTCATCCGTAACTGTTAGAAAGGTGATTGTTAATATGACACGAAGAAGTTCGACAAATCTAAGTGCTAAGTGTTTATAAACATGATTTATGATGTACAACTTTGACACTATAGCAAGAGAATATTAATTAAACTTACATAATGTTTAAAAATTTATAAAGAAATAATCGTTTTTCGCGTCTCGATGTAATACTTTTAATTGGGCCTGCCCGTGTATACATATGATTAAGTTTGATGATTATTCAACCGTTACGAGAAATTGTGTACTTTACATGCCAATTTCTGGAAAACCGAACAGTCAAGGATCTTATAATTTTTTATAATATTTCTACAAGTTCCCTTTGTTATTTTTTTTGTTTTTCATCAAAACTAAAAATAATTTGGTTGCTAGAATTAAGTGAATGTGATATCGGAAGATTTCATACTTATACGAGTATATAAATAATGCTAATTATTTCAGTTATTTCAATTTCAGTATGATCAATCTTTCTCTAATTTTATATGCGTGCAGAATCGTGTTTTAACTAACGTGTTGTTAAAATTTGGAAAAATTCCTGAGAAAATAAATTTTTACAGACCAACATTAACGAGTCACGCAGAATGGGTGAAAAACACTTGATCCGATCCGGACGATTCGTCGTCTGCTTCAGAGCTCATTGAAAAAAGTCTCAGAACCTTTTTTATCGTCGACTACGCAGGAACAGTGATGTCCTTCTGTTGGAAAATATCAAGCGAAGCATGCGGTCATCGCGATTTGACGTCATATTAGGACTCGACAAATTAATCGCAATTAATTGCAATTTGACGTCATATTAGGACCCGGTTAATTAATCGCACTGTGATAGGGGTGTAGGTGGGCAACGAGGGTTGGACAGAGCTAATAAAATTCCGTCACGGCCATCTTCGCCTCTCGGTGAGCGCCGTGATTATTATTCATAAACCGGTCTATTCTCACCCTAATCGAAATCGGGACGCGCCATTAAATTCCGGAGGCCGCGCCCTTTAATCGTCGCCTGACAGCGTTACGGGCGCGATTTGTCATCCACGAAATTGAGTCGCATCTGCACCAGGAGGGGAGAGAGGGCAACGAGCGCGTGTGTCGTCCGGGAAGCATCCCGGACGCGCGCGCGCGTTCGCCCGCTTTCACACGTACAAAGTTGTCCGCGCATGTGAAAGCGGTGCGCGCACATCGAGCACCACGTGGAGAACGCGCGGGGTAGCGCGGCTGCCACCTCTAATACCGAGCGAGGCGATCCTCGAGGGCGATATAATGCTCGCCCGTCGGCGTACATACGGGCATGCACCATTAATATATGGTTGCTGGGGCCATTGTTGCGAATTAGGTGCCATTGAACGGCGTATTGTTGATGACAACGGGGGTCCGTCCATACGGAGGATGCAGCGTGCCCCGCGCACCAACCGCACTCTGATGGACCCCGTAAGTGGAGTCGCCTCCCCCCCCTTCCTACATGGATCCCTTTATGTCGGTGTATAGCGCTTACTTCGCCGTAGCGAATAAACTTGGAATTATCGAGAGGCTAGTCAATCGCGAAACTTCCGAGGGGTCCCGGGGTTTTGGGGAAGACACTGAAAGAGATACTGAATTATTTTTCCCGTCTGAATGGAAAGTGAGCCGAGGGACTGTGAAATTGTACAGTGGAAGATCTTTGTTGTTTTTTTTGTGATATAATGTACCAATATCGAGGGTGATTTGCTTCCAGCAAATTCTGATCGAGCTAATCGGCGAATAATAATCATCAATTTCTAATTCTGTGATTCGTCGCTCGATAATCATTGAGAAGCCTATAATTTCTATTTGTGTTGGCAAGATAGAGCAGGTAACATCTGAACGATAGCAATTTTAAATCGTCGATCAGTCTGATCGATGTTTAGTGAAAATCATGCCGAATGTCGTGGAAAATATTCGTCTATTTGCAATGCGAAGTCGATGTTAGTCGACTTTCTTTATCTCACTGGCCGACGAGGAAATCTCAACTTTCAAAGTTGCGGACTGTACCGCCATCTTTGACGTATATGTTCAGTTACAATGGCGGAATTGGGTATCTGAGAAGAACGATTCCTCCGAAGCGAAATACTACTTCAGTGTCAGATGGTAAACATAGTACAATATAACGCCATCATATCGGGATAAGTTAGTTCTCGACTTTAATTACTGCTAATATTTAATACCATTACCTAGTATTCCTAATTAATCTATTAATTTTGGATTTTAGATCGTTTCGTCTGAATTATTCTTCGGATTACATGAAGAAATGAATATCATTAGACGATTATTGCGTAACACTTGATGACCAGAGTACTTACTTATCATATTTCCATTCAAATATGACTTTTCTGAGTTAAAATGTGAGAAAGCGCAGATACAATGGAAAGTGTAGTGGCGCCTTGTTACAATCGATATTTGGCTCCTTAGCCAAACTTTATGTCCACGTTGCTAGAAATCGGACTGATCTAGTATTTACGTTGATAAATGCTGGAAAGTTACTAGAATTCCCAGTAATTTTTAGTAACTTTTATATCCAGCCAATAACTCTGTCCGAGATCCGACATCGCGGGCACAAGGCCTTAAAGTATAACCAGAAATGACCCGTCGAATCGACGTTGATTTGACGTTCATTTCTCGCTATACGGTCACATATATCATATATATCACGCACGGTCACATATATCACTTTCATTTAAATAATACGTTCACTAATCTGTTACTTTATGCTATTAAAATATTGACAAAAGCAATTAAATACGAGCAATTAAGCACTCTGTGATTAAATGCAGTTGTTGATTCATAACTCGGCAAGTAAAACACAATTGATTCATTTTTTAAATTATATGGGAAGTGGAGGAGAAGAAAGACGCAAAATAAAAACAGTTTCATTTTAATTATAGAAGTGTACATAAAATACATAACACATAAAAAATTATCGTTGCTGTGCTATCTATGCTAGACGTATTGATGCCCTGAATGAAGAAAGGCGCTGTTATTTCCGGCATAAACATTCGTAATCGCGTTGTGGTCATCGACGCAGTCCGAATACTCTCGACTGACATTTCAAGACTCATAACTTCAAGCTCTAACATTATCCTGATATCCGATCATTCGGATAGCAGATAAATGCAACGTTACAAATTCTGGTTATTCGGAGATTCAGATATTTTCTAAGAATCATTGAAATATTCAATTCGAATCAATATCTACGTTTGCAGCGGATTCAGCAAAAAAAACGTCCGCGGCAACGTAGATTTCTGAAAAATTGGAATCATTAAATTATTATTTTTAACAGCATTTAACCTGACTTAATCGAAGATTAAGTCGAATTCGATTAACAATAACCTCGATTATCTGCATTATTCGAATGATGAATTTTTGAGTTTTTGGTCGAAACTGATTTTGGATATCCAGATAATTAAATATCTGAATATTTGGGAGTCCTGTTCTCAACTATTTTTATCTACATATCTTTCAGAGTAAACCCTGATATGGTCTTTAGAATGGTTCACGTTATCGCGAATGTGCATATCAGAAGGAACGTGGTTCCAGTCTTGTGAAGATTTTGAAGGGGGAACCGCTTCTTCGACACGATCTCCGAATGCATACTCCGTTTCTTAGATCAGATTACTTTGTTTCTCAGGCGTCCCAGGCTTTCAATTTCAGTTTCCAGTACGTCCCCGCGCTAATAAAAGATGCAATCAAAAGTAACGTATAACGCAGAGCACATTGTACATGCGATATCGAGTTAATCGGGAGCTTTAGTTTTTATTTGTTAGTTCTCAATTTTTTGGTCAAATTTAATTTTATCGAATTCAATGAAAACAAATCATTTCACCAAGTAAGTGTTGTTATGTTGTCATCTTTGCAACAGTAGAAATACATAAGCAGACCAACATTGTTATTATATATTATTATTATTATATAATTATAACACTAACAAAAACGTACCTGTAGGAATTCGGGTGGGTTGCGAGTGAATCCTACACCAGCAGGAGTGCCGGTGAGGATCACGTCGCCTGGTAGCAACGTCATAAATCTGAAAAAATTTTTTAACGATTAGCACACAATTGTATCTCTTTTTCATCAACCTGTCGATAAAAATATACGGACTGCGAAAGATAAGCGACTATGTCGTGGGGTTTGAAAATGAGTTCACTGGTGTTGCCGTCCTGCTTCAGATTGCCGTTCACCCACGTTCTAACGGACAAGTTGTTGATGTCACAGATCGCCTCTTTGGTGACAACCGCCGGACCCAGGGGACAGAACGTATCCATCGCTTTGCCGAGGAGAAACTGTCCGCGATTGCGTTTAGACTTCTGCCAATCCCGCGCCGTTATGTCTTGCGCCACTGTGTACCCAAAGATACAATCCTCTACTTCGTCGTTATTACGGCCTTTGCATGTTTTGCCGATTACGATCGCCAACTCGGCCTCCCAGTCGACTTTCTACAAATTCAAGAATTACAATAGCACGCGTCGTATGCTGTCAAACGTATGATTTGTTGAACACCCGGTATCATGTCGTTATCGCTTTCACGACTGCCGGAAAGAAGCTAAATAACAAAGTAAAGTGACAGTCTATAGAAATTCGACATACAAATTCAAATGTAACAAATTTGTTGTCAAATTCTGAGATTAATTGAGACCATTTGAGCAAAAAATAATACTTACCCTTACCTTCCTAAGTCTCTTTATTTTTGGATAATTTAACATTTAGCGAGTTCTTTTCGACTTGAAAGTTTATAACAAAGTAAAATCAAGAATATGAACGATACAAGTACGCTTTCAGAACAATCGGCAGCAGACGTGACAGCAAAAATATACATCTATATTTTACAAATTTAACAGCAGCTCAGGAACTAAAGTGACTATAATAATCTATTTTGGACGAAAGTGCATTTTTTAGTGATTAGTCGAGAAAAAGTGACAAAAGGTGATTAAAATGACTGAATGGCAGCACTGTGCTACATGTTACATTAATTTAAATAGTGATTGTAGCATTATGTATTTAATACGCTAAAAAAACACGACTCGAAGTAAATAATTTCATTAAGTTTTGTTATATCTTTCTTATTTCTGAAGTGAAGTAATAATTAAATGTATAGTTTTTTTTTTAATTTAAAAAAACAAGTTTTGACCGAGAAATATCTATATTAAATCACAGTACAATGGTCGTGACGTAATTGCGTGGCAAACTAAAAATACACGAAGAATGTGACGATTTTTCAGGGTCCCCCGATAAGCGGCCCGACATTCCGTCGTAATCTCGACTTACGTCGGAGATCTGAGGCAACAGGATAATGTCGCACGGCCCGATGATGTTGCTGGGAAATTTGCTAAAGACCACCGGGCTCTCCGGAGTTGGTAAACCTTGCTCCTGACAATGACCGCTGTAATTGAGACCGATGCAGGCGAGTTTGTCCATACGTGTGACCGGTGCGAGGAAATTCACATCAGCCTCGGGTATGATGCTTCGTCCTTCGGCGACTATTCTGTAAGCATCGCGTTAGACTCAGCATCCTGCGAAGTGAACTCCGTCGATTACGTAATCGGAGTTAATGAACGCATTCGCACGCGCGAAGTCTGGTTAGATATCTTTTTCTGCTTCTTCTAGTTTTTGATTCTATTGCGAAGAAGGTGAGAAAATCTCCGTTGTGAAGCTTGGCGGTGTTGAGGTTGACAGGAAAAGAGACAAATGTGGTTACATAGTAGAGGATAAGAGAGGGAAGAAAATAAGTAGCTATTACACTTATTAAAATGGTTTATATGCTTGTTTTACATAAGCGTGTCGGTTATTGTCAGTACGAATGGTCGTATCTGACAGACGGCATAGTTTTGCAGTTTTGCGTGCATTGAACGAGCTGCCGCTCAGGGACGGGTCACCTGATATTGATAAGCACGTAATGAAGCAAGTTAATTGCTCTCAGCGTTCTAATCTCAAGGCTAGTCTCCCGCCGATAATTTCGTATCGCCAATCGATACGGGGGTAAGCCCGGTTAATTATTGTAAATAAACGAGTACGTGTATCTTTCTTATGACGTGCTTCTTTTCACGGTTGAATTATGTAATAGATACGTTGCGTGTGAGACTCTCGACGTTATGAAATACGATGGGTATTAGAGAGATAGATATTCTTTTCTATTTAATTCGAATCTTTAGATAATTTCGATATGTTTCAAGTATAGCCAGATTTATCTCCTTGCTACTTTTTTTTTATTGAATATCAAAAATATTCAGTTCTTGGTAATCAGGTATATATTGATAAGGACAATGTTTATTGTAATTTCATAAACAGTGATTTCTGATCCTGGCTCAACGACAGTAATATAATTTTTTTTTCCCACGACTCTTTCTTCTTCTCTTCTTCTTACCCGTCCTTGAATTTGTTTCACTACTTCCAAATTTTCTCGTATCCATAATCCGTTAAATCCGTTAAATCCATTAAATCCATAATCCGTTGTGTCAATCAGGAATTATATAATTCGTTATAGCAAAAAGTGTCATACAATAATAAAAACAGAAATTTACACAGCTTTAAAAAACTGAAAACGAGATAGTTTTAACACAGTTTATTACATTATAATATATAGACAATACAAGGCATAGAAAACATATCAAACAACACGGGAAATTTAGGAGACAAACTTATAACAAGGAGATTATTATGTAAATATATTTCTAAACATACAAATAATATGAGAAATTTGGGCGCCAAACTTATACAACTTATACAAACAGATTATTATGTAAATATATCTCTGTGGAGTCACCATACTTGCGTAGCAAATGTATAATTGATTATATTGGACGATGGCGGAATCGTATAAATAAATGTTAACGCGAATCAATTAATATTTTTATCGCATATTTCAGTTTCGTCGGTCGTAAAGCGTGTTATCGACCGAAAAACAAAATTCGAAAAAATAAATTGCGATAACTATTCACTTTTTTAAAGAAAAGAGAAATACATCTTATGTGTGTACGAAATAAGAATTATATATAAATATTGTCCCATTCACCCAGCAGCATGCACTTAGATTTTCAGCTGCACTAAAGCAGCTTGAAAGTTCGCCAATTGGCAGCGAGACAAGGCGCCGGCCTGAGTTAGTATCAACAACTGCGTCTGATCGAGTTAGTTGCAATGATAAGATTGGATTGTCGAATCTCGCGCGACAAGAAAAGGTGCTGTGAGATGTGACAAGCGTGAAGAATTTCGCACATCCAAGACAACATATAAAAGTTGATGGTGATTGAATTGCAAGATTTGATGAGAAACGATGAGAACTGAGGAAGTGACAGGAAACATGCATAATAATAATTTAGAAAACGCTACGTGATAACGTGACACGCAGCAATTTTCTACAGATGATATTAACTTAAGAACACATACACACACACATATACATATATATGTTTATATATGTTCGTCAAATATGTAGATTTGTCAGTCATTAAAGCGGATATCTCCGGAAAAAAGTAGATCGCCACTAATGTCCTTGAATATATTTATAGCTGATCTTTCCATTCGGTGAATGTTTGTTGTATTTTTCCGTTACATGAATATAACATAATCGCGAGCAGAATGCCTGAATATTTGATAACGCGATAAAAGCACTTTCTACCTATCACCTTCATCAGTATACGATTAAAATATCGTCGTAAAGCAACGTCCCACATCTGTTGACTACAATGCAGAAAGAGAATATTCCCGACGTGCGAGACGATGATAATCGTTCTTGCATAAACGTCTCTTCGGCCGGTATAAAACACCGTGCAGAAAAATTAACATAAATTATTTATTCGAGGAATGATTATTCGAGCGATTATACCGAGACCGTATAATCGCTCAAGTAATTTTAGACGTGCAACTTTAAACATTCACAGCTCCGCATTGTGTAAAAAAAAAAAAGATTCAAAATTCATTTAAATGTTTTATAAAAGAAAAATGGGATTTTCTTGACGAATTATAAAACACGAATAGTATGATATTGATAGGATTGTCGATGATTTATAGCCAAGACGAGTGAATCCGTTTGATGTTTATCGAAGGTGTGGTTCAATGCTAACGCTAAAAAAGATTGTGTACGGCATATTACACACACGCGTGTGCAGGTTTGAACGAATACGTGTGAAAGGGAGGAAAAAAAGGGGGAGAACTACTTGTTTTCACACGAATCGAATACCGAAAACACCAACCTCTCTACTGCCTTCCTTAGGTCGATATCGTCTTCCCTGGTGAAACAAATGTTCACAATAAAATCGGATAATCTTTTCTTTTCTACCGTACCACCCTCGTAAAACATCATATTATTCGTACTACACTACATCACAAAAAAAAAACTAACGAAGCATTATTGCAAAATAAAAAAAAGTACGTTTCATTCCAAATATGACGTGTATTTCATCTGTTTTAAATCTGAGATCGTAGGAAATCTCGCGAGAAAAGGACTTTTAACACAATCACGGAATTTAAGTGCAACATAAACTCTTGTCGCTTCCAATAACCCTTTCATTGATACTTCAAATTACGTCGCTAATGAAATCTTGACGCACTGCAAACCCAGTCGTATGAAAGGAGATTTACGCAAGTCGTAACAAAAGTAATCATAAAAAAACAATACCCGCTGACAGTTAATCGCGTAATCGTAACGGCAAATATTTTCGCAGCGATTAAATGCCTCTCTCATATATCATTATCTGCATTTTTCTACGATCAGTTAAAACGTGCGATTAACGCGGATTGAAGTAGCGATAGCAGCGAAACTGAGCTACTAAAGTCTCGCTTTCTTTCTCTTTTTCTTCCTTTTTCTCACCTACCTCTTGGCTTTTTTGACAAAGTCTTCGCCGCCCTCCAGGAATTCCTTCAGCGTATTCGGGATTCGCGAGTCGACCGCTGACACGGCGATGATGTCGCCTCCCTGTTTCAGCTGGACACCGAGATGCTGCGGGCCCCCATTCTTGAATGTGAATTGAACGAACCTGCGGAAAAGTCAACACAGTTATCGATCGGCAGACGCAACAATCAAGTTTCTAACGTCGCGTGCGACCTGACTTTCTAAGTATAGCGTGTTTTCTTTTTTTATTCGTTCTCACTCGCTTCGGAAGCATGATGCTTAATGAAACGCAACGTAACGTGATCCTCAAAATTGTCCAATAATTTCGACTCTACAGTTAAAATAATTGAACGAAAATCTTTTGCAATATTATTCAAAACTTGAAGATTCCAAACAGATGTTGAGATTCTCACTCTCATTTATTTGCTTATTTGATAATGATGGGGACAGATTTCATAACATGTTGAACATCGTTTTCGCACGTCTTAAAAGAAACAGAGAAAGTTTCATGATCTCTTCAACATATTTTTGCATACGCGCTATTTATAAATCCTAGTTCTACAAAATATTTTGATCGTTCTCGGCAATGAAGGACAAAACTGTTACAAAATCAACTCGGTGAAACGGAACACGCGTTCGATAAGAGATAAGAGTTCTAATTTTATAGTGAGCAAAAAAAAATCCGTTGAATTGATAAAATCGACGGTCATCTTCATTTAAAAATATATTGTGCCCGCTGAATAAATTACGAACAACAATAGATTGTATCGATATAGTTTTCAATTAAATTGCAATCGTCGAATCGATTGATAATTAATTTCAGCAGCAACTGTACAATTTGTTGAATATACCGAACGTTGTGGCTGAAAAAAATTTTTTCGCTTAAGTAAAATTTCGGGCCCCTTAATTGTGCCCCTTTTTTTTTTAGTGTACGCTTCGCTTTATGAATTAGCATCGGGGAATTAGTAGCTCTCAACACGATATTCGATAGATCATAACGACACTCGTATTTCGCTATGTTGGGCGTCCTAATAGCAATCATCACACTTATCATTATCTGCTCACAGTGCGAAAATATTAGACAAACTGCTCGTTCATTGAATGGAATATTTACAAACCATTCTAGAATGTTAGGCGAATACAATTGAGAATATCATGACGAAACGTCCGTGGGAGAGACAACTATGATGTTCCGTTATTACAATGAACAGTCACCGATAGAATTGAATAGGTCAAATTGTTTATAACGAACGTCGGGTAGGTTAAATATACTGTGTGTCTGACGCAAGCCATGCCACACTTGTAGTTTAGGTCAATATGAACCAAAAAGGTCTCTACTATTTTGCAAATACGTACATTTTTTTAGTTTAAATGATTAATTAAAAAACCCTCTATATATATATATGGTTATTTTCAATAATTAATAACTCGAAATTTTAGGCGGTTGTTTACAAAATGGTAAAGAACTTTTTCATTCACACTGACCTAAAATATCTAAACATATATATGACGGATAACACGTAGATAGATTAGGTACACAAAATGCAGCAGTCGGATATGCGACGCACGAATCAGGACAAGTGTAAGTCGAATAACGGATTTGCAGAATTTTATCTTGAGAACCAGACGCAACGAGGAGGCAAACTCTATCGCTACCACGTGCGAAAATTAATTCCTTCACATAACAATAATTAACAACGTTAACTTAAGCACTATTACTTTTACGTACTTCGAACATTTCGCTCTTACCGCAGTCATATATATAAAGCTATTGCACGTAAAACGTTAAGCCAGCGGCACACGATGCTTATATTCTTGCTGGATGGAAATACTGCGTTCTTATTGGTGGACTTTCAAAAATGGATGACAATACATCAATTAAAACGCAGTATTTCCATCCAGCGAACGATCCAGCACGAAAACAAATATCGTGTGCCGCTGGCTTTACAGTCGTAATCGTAAGCAAATTGACCGACCATAGTCGACTATTCTTCTAACGATTTAAGAGTAATTTCTTCGTGGTTGGTCAATTTGCTCACGGCCTTGCGGTGTACGACAAAAACTTTTCACGTGCAACGGTCTCTTGCACAAGGAAACATCTGTTCGAGAAGGTAGGCGAAATATTGAATCGCGAAAATGGCGGAACCGGACCACACATGGTGCTAAAATCGGGTCTAAGAGAGAGAGGATTTAAACTTTAAGCTATAAGAAATTGACAGTTACAATCGATTATTCTTCTGTAATTCGACTGTAATTGGTCACCTTCTTACGATTTGAATTAAATTCGCATCGTAAACCCCCAATTAGACACACTCTTGACGGTATAGAAATTGAAATGCCGTGGAATCGGACTATACGTTGCGACGTTTTTATCGCAGAAATGCGACCGGGTTCGCTCCGTCGTAGTTGTTGGAGACGCTTTTCAAGGCGTATCCAACGGCCGCAACGCGGTGCCGGCGCCTCGATTCTCGCTACGGTCCTGAGAGACCGGGCAGACACTGCACTCACCTCATATCGAGCGCACCGCTTACGGAGAAATTCCTGCCGACAATACTGGCGGTGAGGTGTGGAGTGGCGCTCTCGTTTTTGCCGCACGAGTTTCTGAACGCGAGGCAGGCTCTGCCGAGCAAGCGTAATTTTCCGCGATAAGGCATCTTGTTGACGTTACTGGCGCCGATAGGCAGAGATCCGCGACGATACGCGGCAAAAAACCCGAAATACCGTACGTAAGCGCTGCGACGGCCGCGATAACACACACCCCGCGAAGAACGAAACACAACTGCAGACGTTGGCGCCTCTCTCGGGCGCCGCGCGTCGATGATTGGTGGGGGGGCTCACACGTGATCCGTTATTGAAATGCGATTTGCCTTGCGAAATGTCAGGTGATCGGCGATGCAGCTTCAAGCGGATCGGAAAATAAAGCGCGAGGACGACGGAAGCGGACGGAGAAGCGTGTCCACGTAACGTAAGATAACGTCTCTGACGCGTGAATATTGCTGCCGAAAAATATTTCGCGCGTAGACACCCGGCGAATCGTGCACGAAGATTGCTCACGTACACTGGCAAAATCTTATCCCTCAAAACCGCGTAATATATTGTCGAATCACGAGCAAATGCATTCCTGAAACACGTATTGCAATTAGTCCGGAAATGATCAAGTGTCTCGGGAATTCGACGATTGCGATATTGCATTAACGTGAGCTATCATATTACGACTCTCTTGATACCACACACACGCATACAATTTTCGTGATTAAAATATTTCCATATGTTTAAAAATAGCGGAGATACTCCAGGTGGGCAAAGTTATTGTCCCACCCTGTAGATTGGATGAGAAAAATACACGTATCATGTAAATGAATTTATCTTTAATGTCGCAACATAAGATTGCATCTAGTCATTAATCGACATAATAGATTAGGGTAATGGTAATGGTTTCCTTCTAGTGAAAGGAAACTCTTCTCGACTATGATACGGAGTGTACGGATCATCGACGTAATAACGCGGTCTCTTCCAGTATTTGTTCACCATCTTGTCCAATAACTTACATTGCGTAGCATTACAGAACACATGCTGTCGCAATCTCTTCCTTCTAGCGGCTGATTTTTTCCACAGGTGCTTATGACGACCCGATTTTGTTCTGATCCATATACCCCTGTAAAATTTCATTCATTTTCCACCTCATCTCGAGGATTCGTCTATTCGCATTGTTGTCGATTAAGATTAATTATTACATTCGGTAGTCTTGAAAATTACTACAATACTTATACCCTCGGAATCTTACCAGTTCAATCTGTAGAAACGTTTCAGAACTGTCTTTACGGTTTGCCTCTTTCCTCTCGACAGACTAAACCTGACTACCGTTCTCACCTGAATATTGATAGGTTCTACCGGCACAGGTGGAAGATTTTCTGTCGCACGGCTGAAAGATATCGTTATGAGTCATTCATACACAACTCGACTATTCCATCGCGCATTGGAATTATGTCGACGATATTTCGTATTACCTCAGCAACGTTTTTTGTTGTACAGGTCCGATGGCGGCCCATCTTTGAGCGATGCTCGACAATGCTCCGAATGCTCTGTATTGTGTATAACTCGCAATGCAATTATACGCGGGAACAGCAGGATTCACCGTAATTGTACTCACTGTTCTCGCTGCGACACCTGAAACAACGTATCAGAACACTCAGTCGCGGGAACAAACACGACGCTCTCTTTGATCGTCCTTTAACCCCACGCAAATCACTCCGACATATCTATCCGAATGGAACAAATGAAATTAGATTCAAATTCGAAGCGACTCTAGAGGCCGATTGTTGCTAACTTAGTCAGATGCACTAGACAGGTACCTACTGGATAAACTAATCAAGAACAACCGTTGACGTTTACCTGATAGATACCTGTCGGGTAAAGCGGGGCCTACAATGAGAATTTAAGGCGTGAGACTCGAGAAATTGACCAATCGCGGTCGAATTATGGAAGAAAAATCAATGATGATCGGCCAATTCGTGAAATCTTGCGAATCGCGTTGAAAAGCGCGCCGCGGCCCGATTCCGGGCCGTTCCTTCCGTCAGCCGCGGGTGTCATGGCGGGTGATCGGGCTCCGAGCGAACATAACCTCCGAAACGGCACGGATTCTCGCGTCTCTCACGGCCGGAAGAAACGCGGAATCGCGAGGAATGATGATTCGCCGCGAAGTCGCGTCGTGACGGATCCCCGCGATGCACTCGCCGATCTCGGAATCAACCTCGGGAAGCGCGTAAACCCACCTCGCAGCGCGGCGCTCAGCACACGCAGCATTCTTCTTTTCGCGCAGTTCCGCTCGTCTGTGGCCAGCTGTTCGTGCCGTCGTTCCCTTTCCCCCCGCTGGCTGCCTGACCGGCCGCTCGAAAGATGTTCCGAATTGGGTTAAAATTCCCGTGCAACGGTCTAAATCGGGTACGTAGAGCGAGCGAAGGGGTTGCGGGGCGAGTCGCGCGTACAATCGTGCTGTGCTGTGTCGGGAAATACGTAGAACGAGGTATCACCGGGAGAAGCAACGTCGCCCGCGAGCACGCACTGTGTGTGTGCCGCTCCGACGTGATTCCCTTCTTTCGTCGGTCAGTGACGCAGGTCGAGGTCACTGGGTGTCGCGACGACGACGTCGAGCTCGGGAATCCTCCCGAGTGAGAATTTCGCGGGCGACGTCTCTCTCACGGTTCCCTCGTGCATGTGACAAAGATGGTTTCTCGATTTTGAGAGCTTATATAATTCCAGAAGCTCTGATCGTCATCGTTTCAGATTAAAGAACACGGCTGCTCCAGGCTTTACCTGACCGCCAGATACTACGAGACGCGGCCGCGACTCGGACCGAACGGCAGGTGAGCGCCCGGGGAAGCGTTTGTGTTTTGCTCGGTGACAGGGTCTCCGTCGTCTTTCTCGGAAGCGTTAATGTACGAATCATGTGTGGGAGATGTTTAAAAGGACGACGCTTCGTGCTCCGAGAGGCGGTCGGTGTGACTCGTTTAGGTGATTTGTTCGTTCAAAGGCGGTCTTAGCGCGCGTTTCCGTCAGTTTTCCAGCGCGATAAGAGGTTATGTTTGTGATGAGATGTTCTCTTAAAAAAGAATGTTCGTCATTTCATCAGTGACACACTCCGTTATGTATCTATCCTTACTGTACTATTTATGACTTTTTCCACTGCTGAAACCGGAGCCTTGTTGTGATTAGATCTTGATTTTTCTCAAGGTCTATCAACATTTGAGATTATGTAAAATTATACCGTATCGGTGACAGACCTTGTTGTATCTTTCTTTCTTTCCAGGCTGTGCAAGGATGTTAGACTCACGTCCAGATTTACCGGACCTAAGTATTCGACTGCACCGCCAAGAAGGTACACGAATAAAAGTATTCAAATATCTGGCGTCCTATTCAATGGACAAGTATATGTTAATATGTTTTGTTTGTTTGTTTGTTGCGTGTTCTGATTCCTTTGACTCTGTGTTATCCAACAAGTATTGATGTAAGTAAATCAATCGTGACTGATCCTCTGTATATATGTTTCTTGACAGTGAAAAGAGCAGAGGATCAGGAACGTTGATAACTCTAGGAGCAGTGACAATTGGAACTTTAGGAATACTAACGTACGCTAAGAACAATCCGGAATTCCGTGCTACATTGGAAGGATGGGTTCCTGGCACGGACAAAGCCGTTCGAGTCGTCTTTCAAGAGGATTCCAGCTACTTCAACCTCATATTAACGTTCTTCGCAACATTGAAGCAGACGTAAGGAGATCAATCACATATACCGTTAATCATAATCTGTTAATCAATTTCTTTAAAGTATGAATATCTCCCTGCAGGATAATGGATATGTTCTTCAAAGACGGACCGGAACCAGAACCAGGTCAGAAAAGGCTAGATTGCATAAAACTTACCGATTACATACGTGAGTCCCAATCCTTACCTCTTTTCTTACGTACACTCGATCGTTCCTTATCCTTTCAACACTTACATCCTTTTTACGACTTTATACAAATAAAACATAAACATAATAGAGATTAATTACTAAACTGTACGTTTTGCAATATCCTTAATAACTTTTACCATTCACACGTGTATACCGCAGCGCCCAAGCCAGTTTTCAAGCCGTTAGTCGAGAAGAAGGAAGCACCTAATCATGTCGAGATTCATCATATTAGCAAAGAGGACAAGAAAGTTGATGTCGGTACGTTGCGCGCGTTTTATACATCGCTCTGTGTGCTGGGTTTATGCTGTGGAAAATAATTAAATTTCTACTTCGTTTTGTTTGCAAAGTGGTCGAGAAACCAGCACCGTCCCCCAAAAATATACTCAAAGAGGTGATGTCGCAAAGCTTGGCCGACCTAGAAACCTCTTGTGGCGAAACTGCTTCGAAAGCCATCGCAGCCTATCGCAAGGCAACGTGTGCAGTTGAAGAGTACAATCGTGACGTGGTCGAAGTGGTCGAGAGCGCCGGCAGTGCGATAAGCGGAAGCGTTTGGCAGAGGTGATCTTCGTTATGCTTACGTAATCGTCTCTCGTGCTTCACTTCTGTATCGATTATGTAATTGGATTTACGGACGGTTATACATATATATATATAGATTAAAAGAAGCGACGGAGAGGAAGAAAGAAGCGGTGCGTCAAGCGGAGGAGCACGCGAGAGCAGCGTCGGATTCCCTCAAGCGCATGTACAACCTGATCGACGAGCCTGCGCTGGACGCGCCCGCTGACGTAAAATCCGCCGCACGACGGAACGTCAAGAAGATTCTGGAGGACGTGGAGGAGGCCAAGAGGAGGTATAACGAGGAGACGCAGAACAGTAACGTCACGGAGCGCTACTGGAAGCAGATTAAAACGGCGCGGGAAAACTTCAACGAGGAATTGCAAATCCTCTTTCCCAGTATAAATATTCACGAGAAGAGGTTGTCCGTCAACGAGGAGGCGTTCGATTTATTCGTGCTGCATATGTATCACAAGGTCAACAACCTGCAGCAGGAATTGGAGAAACTAAGGGTGCGTCATTTATCTGATCAAAGTCTCGTGATCGCGCAATTTTTGTCGTACATCCGAGACGTGTGTCAAAGCGAATTTCGCGATTTTCCGCGTGAAACCAATCATCGTGTGACATACAATGTGTTCTCACAAAAAATTATTTGCAGACAGTCAACGAAACCAAGATAAAATCAGCCCTGAGAGCATTCGGTGAAAATGCAGACGAAGAAAAATTGGAAGCACTGGTGTCTCTCGCGGTAAACCGGGAGACGCTCATTCTGCAGGAGAATCAGGAGAAGAAGGTAAGACACTTTTTTCACATGTTTAATCTTAGAAATTTAAATCATATACGTGACTCTTTGTCCCTTGCGACTTTAAAATATATGCGAATTTGAAGAGATTGTAAGGCTCAGTATTTTCGTTAAATGAATATTTTCCAAGATATTTTACACTTTATCCAGATACTTTTCAGTATAAAATGTGAAGTATCTTGCAAAATATTCGCTTTTCGATAACCTCACTTTAATACTTTTGTACGTAAAACAATGGGAGAAATCGTTTAATGATACTAATCACTGCACATTAGTACATCAATTTATTTGGAAAATGCAACTATTTTTTTTTATTTTCTATGCTTTTTGCAATTGATTCACTCTTATTCCGTTTACTGCTATAAAAGTTGCGTTTAAAACATTTTTTGCTATGATGCGAACTTTTAGAGAAAACAACTTGTAACATTTTAAGGGGATCTCTGATTAGAAAGATTGTAAAAAAGATATTTTTTATGAATATTTTATAGGGAAATGAAAGAATCGAATAACGTTAAACTTTGCGCGTTCTTTTAATCATATTTTAAGAATACATTTTTATTTTCTAAGTAATAAAAATGCTATTTTTTTATATCCTGGTCAGTATGAACTCGCAAGAAAAACGCATGCAGACGGTGTAAATGATTCTAACTATCCTAGATATCTGAAACGCAAAAACTAAAAATTTCCTTATTCAGGAAAAATATAGCTATTGTCTGAGCTAGAAGTAAACCACTATATTTCCATTCTGGACAAAATGGCGGTCTTTTTATTTAAAAAATTATAATTTTCCCTCAAAATTTTGTTAGCATTTTATTACAAGAACAGAAACTAATAAACGTGTTTATTCTAGTTCAGATGATAGAGAGACATGTCATTTACTTACGCCGGTACATTCGACTGTAACATCGCGTTACTTTGTTTATAATATACGCATACAATACAAGCATCCGGAAACCAAGTAGAAAAAGTCAACCTCAATGTAATCCGACGCGATTCAAAGCGTGCTATTTGTCAAGCGTCGACTGGCCATCATACGTCGACCGGTGTCTGCGCGCTTTTACGCGTTTTTTCTCTCTCTCTCTCTCTCTCTGCACCGAGCAAATGTGGATGGACGTGAGCTTTAACGCCATTATTAATGTTACCCTAGTGTGTTCATACGAGTGGTCCGGCATACATTCACGGGCTGACACCCCACTATGTCATCGCACCGCGTTTGTAGCCGAATTAAAGGGGGATAGCGCGAAGTCCTTTTTATCGCCTCGATCGTCCGTTCGTCCCACCACGATAATTTCGCGTCGAAGGCGAAAAAAGCATCTGAGGTTCTCCGGGAAAATGGTATTTTGCGGCGGAGAGATGACGGAAAAGAGCAGAGACGGTTCTTAAAAGCGCCGTTCTCTCGAACGCGCGAACGGCGCGATGTGTGGGAAAGGGGGGGAGGGGGGGGGGGGAAG